TTTGTATGTTTTTTCTGTTGGTTGGCGGGAGGGGGGGGGGGGGGAGTCCAAGTTTCCTTGTTTTTGGATATAAATCTATTCTATTAAAATCTGAGGATTTTAACCCTTCTTCGGATTACAGGTAAGGAATAAAAAAATGAATACAGTACAGCGAATGAGGAAGTGGTCAGAACCAGCATAGAGAAACATGATGATAACCTGGCAATTCTGACTTTGGCCATGATTCTTCTGTATTTTGTTTTTATTTCTTATTTGTTGCCATGAAAAGCGTTCACAATAAAATGACTTTTCTTTCTCTTCCACCAAGGGACACAGGAAGCCAATAATCTTTAAGTTGCACTGCTGCCTGCAGAATTGGACACTGGCAAACAAAACAAGAAAACTGTAGTTCAGCCCAGGATAATGCCATTTCCAGCATCTCATTTTTGTTGCTAGTGTCCTAGGAGGGTGGATATTTTTTCTTCAGCTCTGTTGTGATAAAGACTAACCTAATATTTTTTATTAGTACTTCCTTTTGTATCCTTTTGATCTTCTTTTTTTTTCCCAATCAAGACTCTTTCTACATTGCTGCTGGAGTTTTCTAGTTGCAGCTATCCAACACTGTCATCCATAGTCTATGTTTTGTAGTCCTGCATCTGGACCCCACTGAACTGGATGTTTGGGCATTGGGTTCTGCCTGAGGCACTTTCCAGGCTTCGTTCTGGTAAAAGTTAGCTGTGGAGCGCTTTCCAGGTCCAGAGCCACTGGCATTGCCTTAGTTCTTGCCCTGGCTCTGCAGACTTACTCAGTGAGGAGGCCAGTAAGGCTGAGCACTGGGGCCTTACCTTTCCAGATCACCGGGCCATTCTCACTGGTTTCTGCTCGGATGGGGTTTAAGCTGTGGAGCTAAGCGCTGATGTTATACTTTTAATGAGGGATCATCTCACCGCTGCTGCTTCTGCTTGCAAAGAGGCATTTGGAGTTTCAATCTATGATCCGTTCAAGCTGCCAACCTACAGTGATTTTGGTCAGTTCCGGCCATCCGACCCTTACTTGCTACCAGCTGTCCAGGTTTTGTGAGCATTTGAGGCCTTACTCCTTAACCTGAGGCTATTCGTTTTCTTACCTAATGTAGTTCGTGCCTTTTTGCCTTTTTTCGAGACATTGTTCTTCCATCCTCTATCGGGCTTCAGTTCATTAAAATGACATTGTGTAGAAGTGCTGTCTGAGCAAACCTATTTCTCAGCCACTGCTTCTTTCAGAAAGACTGATTCCCTTCTTATTATCCCAGATATCTGTCAGCTGGTGTTCTGTTCACATATTCCCTTAGCTCTGCCAGGTGGAGGTTTCTGCCTCACCTGATGCCAGCTGCAGACGTATGGTCATTTAGGCCGCTCTTTGAGCTATAGGCATTGCCCACTTCTCTGTTGTTTTGCTAGGTCTGTTAGCAATTGTTCATTGTGTTACCCACCACTCAGTTAGACTGCTTTTGGATGTCCTGAAAGTTTGACTTCCTATGTCCCTCAATAGACGAGAAAGAAAATAGAGTTTATGTATTAATCATGAAATCCTTTTCTTCTAGTCCATTGATGGTCACAGGTCCCACCAATATGTGTTTATGATCATGCTCTTGGTACTACATTTTTGTTGTTGTAGTGTCCTATCCTTCCGTAGGTGGCAGTATAAGCCTTTACAGTTAAAACTTCCTGTGTGCTTCAATGGATTCCAAGAAAAAAATTTACATTGAGTAAAACAATTTGATTTATCCATTTGGCACTCCACAGTTTCTTCAATTTCTAGTCTTCACCCTGGCATTTATCTTGTGCACCTAGCAGTTCTTCCAGCAAAACAGCCTTTGGATTTCTTAGGTATGGACATGTAGAATTGTTAGCCACTCTGTTCCTATGTTGCTGCATCACCTGCTCTCTCTTGCCTAGCATAAAACTGACTACACACATTTGTACTATTTTTCCTTTAGACTTTGGTTTCATTGTCATCTTATTTCTGTTTTAGTAACCTTGGTCATCCAGTGGCTTGATGTGACCCAGCTTGAGAAGAATGCAACTCTGCTCTTTCCAGAATGCATCAAAGTCAGCACACGCGACAATGAATACTTTTTCTCTATGTTCCTTAACATCAGTGAGACCTTCAAGCTAATGGAACAGCTAGCTAACATTGCTATGAGACAATTGCTGGACAACGAAGGCTTCCTGGAGGACCGGAACCTACCCAAGCCTACAAGACCACTCAAAAACATCTCTGCTCTGAAAAGGTATGAAGAAGTCAAGACAGATCTATATTTAGTAGTGTAGAAAGTTTGACTAGCCACTGGTAAGTCAAGCTTGGGTGTGTAGGACTCCTCCATTTGTATTCATCTACTCCAAAAGCAAATCTAAGGGGTAGCAGTGGGGTCACTGGGTAAGGCCTCATTCACATGGGAAACGGCCGGCACGTACAGCTCCGTGCATGGCCGTATCGGGCAACTCTCGGGAAGGACAGGTGCTGCATGTGATTAGTACGCAGCCCCTGTCCTTCTCTATGGGACTACGCGGCCGTATGCCTCCCTACGCTCACCCCAAGTGCGGGTGTCCCGGCTCAGACGCAGACAGGATCCATCCTGTCAGCGTACGAGTACGTACACCCGCACCCGTACGGACCTGCACTTGGGGTGAGTGTAGGGTGGCGTACAGCCGCATAGTCCCATAGAGAAGGACAGGGGCTGCATACTAATCACACGCAGCACCTGTCCTTCCCGGGAGCTGCTCAATACGGCCATGCACGGAGCTGTACGTGCTGGCCGTTTCCCGTGTGAATGAGGCCTTATATATTAAACATATGTTGATATTATAGTGGTTGATCTGGAACCATGCTCAGATAAAGTAACCTATAAAAAAACATCAGGTTTTTGTAATTTGTAAAACAGATGATGGTGATTGAATACATTTTTCCAACCGCTATTTATTTAAAGGACTTCTGGTTTTGAAAGTGGAAGAAACATCTCGAAGTTCAGCGATCCTTGGTAACTGGTAGGTGATCCTCCTCAATAGGATCACTCCTCTATTTAACTCTGTACTGACTATAATAAAGACGAGTACACAGTTGTCTGCTTGCAGCAAAAATTGAAAGAACCATTAAGCCCTGAAAAGACACTTCTGGCTTAAGAAAACTTGGAATTGACTGTTATAATAGCAATGTTAATTTTGTGAATAACTGATTTCACCGACCTGTGTAGATACATTGCTTTAAGTGGAACTCATTTTAATTACATTATCATTTTAATGTAACTTTTCATCTTCACGTAACCATTTAGATTTGACCATATATACCTATCTATTCATATTGCTAAAATTTGTGTAATGCCGGCCATATATGCAGATTAACATAAGCTCATGTGCATAGTTGAAACATTTATTTTCTATGCAGAATTCAACAAAGACATCACAGGAAATGCTGCTGGTGGTTCACCAAATCAACAGTGAGACATTTACCTGCCTCCCTGGGTCCAGATGTCTAATAGGATATATCAAGAATATGTACAAATAAAAGACATTACAATTTAGCTTTCTTATATTTTGGAGATGTCAGAATATACAGAAATAGTATACTTTAAAAAAAAAAAATATATATATAAGAGACTTGTAGAATATCATTTGACATTCCCTTTGATATTTGAATGAACGGAGTTTCCTGAATGAAACCACATTCACTGTTAGAATTCTGTTTGTTCGAGAAACATTTCTATGCTGCTCCTTCTATTTTTTTATTCACCACGGTCGAAAACGCTCATCGATTGGACCCCATTTAGGGCTCCTTCACATTAAAAATGTGTTAAAAACACTGCGTACAGATGCGCACAGCACTTATTTCTGTACGAATCTGAATGCAGCACATGCAAACACACAGCTGCGTCTGCGGAAAGTGGGGTTACAAGGAGAGGTGCGGACTGCACCGGGTGACACCAGACTGAGTAAGTGATTTGGGTGTCACCCCCTGAAAACTTAGGCACGGGCCGAGAGCTGCACAAGAGAGGGGGTGACCCGGCAGCATACCTTATCCCGACGGATGAACGTCCCCTCCTCTCCTTGCCGCCGTCCAACACCAAGATGGCCGCCAGCAGTGAACTGCACGTGAAGTCGCATGTATACAGAATGACATGTGCACCCGGTGACACCCAGCCTGGTGATGCCGCAGTCTGGGGCCGTGTTTCTGTGCTGCGTACACATGCACTCACAAAAAGGAACAGAACTGCATCCAGGGCCAGAAAAAAGTGAATTTTTTACACGCATGCAAACACGCATGAAGTTTCTGGTGCTTAGGGATTGCACACAGTGCTAGAAAAATATGTACGCATTACATGCAAGTGGTGCGAATGTGCTCATATACGCGTCTACAAAAATGCGTATTTTACGCATGAAAGTCTGCACGTGCATTTCTTCTATGCCTGTGTGAATGAGCCCTGTTAAAAAAATATGGCATAATGTTCTGAAAAAGAAATTTTTTTAAAGCAAATTCTCCAGCTTGTACTCCTTCCCCATCCAGTACTTGTAGGGATCAGTAGTCAGGCTGCGGTTTGTAATATATGGCTCTTCAAC